CATAAAGAAAGATAGCAACAAGATCCGCGGCATCTCGTCCGGTGACACTTTCTGCCGACTCGTCGCCAAAACATTGGCACGACAATTTCAGGATGATCTTCGAGCAGCAATCTTCCCCTACAATTTCGGCCTGTGCAACCGAAGCGGCACGGATGCGGCCGTCCACTTGCTGCAGTACATCTCGGACACGAGCCCCAATAAGGTGATACTTAGTGTCGACGGGGTGGGTGCCTTCGATCATGTATCTCGGGCCCGCATGTTCGAGCAGCTACTGGCCAGCCCACGGCTTTCGAAACTGATACCTTTCGTTCGTCACTGGTACGGCACGCAATCCAGATTCTGTTGGGAAGATGACGCCAAACAAACCCACTCAATACTCCAAGGAGACGGCGGGGAACAAGGAGATGCTTTAATGCCCGCATTGTTCTGCTTGGCACTGCACCCTGCATTACAAGACTTGGATGCAAACTTTCCGGATGGGACCACGCTATTGGCATATCTGGACGGCATATACATCGCATGGGACTTGGAGCGTGCAGCAGGGATCTTGGAACGCACAAGACAAGTCTTAAGCGCTGTATGCCACATTGACATCAATGTTGGCAAACTGGTGGGATGGAGCAAAACTACTGCACCATGCCCTGCTAATCTTGTGGGTGTCGGGCCTGATTTTTGGAATCCCACCAAACCACCAGAAGAAAGGGGCATACGAATCTTGGGGGTGCCGGTGGGGTGTGATGCATACGCATCTCAATTTTGCGTAGACCTTGTTGCGAAGAAGGCGAAGCTGACACAAGCAATTTCTAAGCTCCCTTCTTTGCACATCGGATGGCTATTGTTATACTTCTGCGCGGTGCCAAGGCTCAACCACTTGTTGCGTACGACGTCGTCCCCGGACAAGATACAACCGAGCACAACCATCTTCGATGAACATGTCTTGGATGTGTTTAAATGTATTTTCGGATTGTCGTCCGAAGCAACGTGGGACACAAACCTGCATGGGGTAGACTACGCCACCTGGGTATCGCAAGCACGTCTCCCGCTACGTCTCGGCGGAGCTGGATTACGGCACTCGGGGCGGACATCTAGGGCAGCTTATTGGTCAAGTTGGGCAGACTCCTTACCAGAACTCTTGGCTCGATATCCACACTATGGACAACAAGCCCTTGCAGACCTACGAACAGCAGAAACACATCAACCAAACGACGTGCACGTGGGACCGGAGTGCATCACAGCAGCAGAATTGGCTGGGAAATGGTGCGCAGAACAAGGTTGGCAAGAAAAACCATTCTGGAACGATGTGGGCGGTGGACTCCGACCTCCGCCCCCACCAGGGGGACATCTTATGATAGGTGAGTGGCAACATGGGTGGCAATACCACGCGTCCAACGCTGTCGAACGCGAATCGCTCGCCGACTTGATGGTAGCCTTGGCGGGTCCGGGAACCCGCTGTAACGCAGCAACTGTTGGCAAAACCCGGCTGCGTTCATGTTCAGGGCCGTTTTCAGCTGCATGGCTAACTGTTTTCCCCACGTCCCCTATGGTACGCTTCAGTAACATCGAACTACAATGTGCGATGCGACGGAGGCTTGGGTTGGCTATCTCCTTCGACGGCCCAGATACGCATGGGCATTTCTGTGTCAACGACAAGCGGGGGGCAAGATGGCAAGCGCGACATACGCTCTTATTCAAAGCTTGGAGGCAAGTGTTTTCTGAAGCCGGGGGTCTTTTTCCAGACAAGAACATCGAGAAACGATTACGGAACACACATATTCCAGTCCCACCGGGAGACAACAGAAGAATGGATATTGTGGTACCTTGTCTCAAAGTTGCGCGTAGCTTGCCACTCTTCTGCGACACAACTGTGATTTCCCCGATCTCCCGCAACGGACGCCCGCGCCCAGGGACAAGCAACAGAAATGGTAAGCTCTTGGAAGACGCAGAAAAAGAAAACAACGACACGTACTGGGAAGTGGAGAACTCAGGACTTGGGAAGTTATACAGTTTGGGTGCAGAAACCTACGGGCGATGGAGCAAACAGTGCGTCGAACTCGTACAAGCACTAGCAGAAGAACGTGGGCAAAGAGTGAATGCCCCCCGCGTCCGGCGGGGAGTAGTGCAATGCTTGCTACACCGGTGGTGGGGCATTCTTGGAGTAGCCTTGCAGCGGGCGGTAACAAACAGCGTTTTGCACGAAACGGCCGAGCTGCCGCTCGTGCAGGCTGAGCCTTCTTGTGCTTTAGCTGTGGCTGACTTGCAGCTCGTTTGATCGTTTGTCAAGCGAGCCTCTGACGAAAGGGAGGAGTGAAGCGAGCGTCCGTGAGAGGGGAAAACACATGTTCTCAGGTACCGAAGCGAATATTCTCAAGCACCGAAACAGATGGCCAAATACCGAAATTAATGGCCAAAAACAGAAACGGATGCTACCGCAAAGCTGGTAAGGATATTGCTTACGGGCCGAGGGGGGGGGACGGGAAGAGGAGGAGGAGCGGTCGGGAGTCGTATAGGCCGTTGCTTGCAAGCTTCTTTGGAGATTGTCCAGAAGGGGGCTCGCACTGAACGTGTCAGCGCGAGTGTCCACATCCAATTTCATCTTGACTTGCCGTTCCCTCCGTCTTCCTCGTCATTTTCGTCATCCTGGTTTCCTCGTTGTCGGCGTCGTCCTCCTCGGCCCTTTTTCCCCAACTAAGCTTGCCTAAGGCCTAAGAGGTTCTTACTTGATTAAAAGTTGGTGCCTCCTATTGATACTTTGCCCGTTGCTCGGAGGTTCCTCTCAGAACAAACAAAACACATAAACACAAAAGGTTTTATTGGTTTTTCGCCGGAAGGGGGCGTCGTTGAGAGGGTGCCTGGCACGGATGCGGGGATCGAGGTGGCGTCGGTGTTTGGAGCTGGCGGTTTGTGTGGTAAGTGCGTTTAGCTGGCTGCATTTGTTTGGAACGCGTGACGGGTGGACAGGCCGCTCACCAACACTTGGCAGTCCTCTGCCCGCGTGCCAGAACACATCGTCGCGCGCTCGCAACGGGTTGTGGGAAAAGGGGGTTCGGAAGAGAGCGCGAGTCTCCTTCCCAACAAATCCTTTCGATAGGCAGCAACCAACTCTTCTTCTATTCCTATGCCACACGGCCAACCGAACGAACGAACAACTGTCTCGGCGCGCAGTGTTAGCTTCGCTTGCGCGCATCCTGGCTTCCTTCCGTTGCTTCTTTCGCTTCTTTCTCGCCCTCCTCTTCCTTTTTCTCTTCCCCTGCTTTGCCTTGTCTCGCCCCCCCTTCCTTTCCAGCTCGGAGCTGTCACCGCGCGCGAAAAGCGCAACCCAAAGGGCGTTGCTGTAATTTCTTTGTGTGCCACGAAATCTCGTGTAATTCCTTTGTGTGCGGTTTGGTTGCATTGCCAACGCGGGGGGCACACAAAGGAATTTCGTTTGTGTACGATCGTTTTTGCCGGTCCCGCAAGAGCACGCGCGATTCCTTTGTGTAGAGCTTGTTTCCCCGCCTCGAGGAGCGCACGCGGCCTGGCGCTACAAACGCAAGGCCGCGGCGCCTGGCAGTGCGATGCAGCTGCGCCGGATATCACGCCCAACACGATCCTACGTGGATTTTGGCACTTATGCCGAAAAGCTCGCTGGCAGCTGGCCTGCCACATCGCCAGCCCTGCATGCCCTCGCGCGCTACTACGTTTTGCTGCCGCGACGCGTGCTGCTGTCAACGGATGAACAAACTGACGTTGAATGGTGGTTTGGCTGTGCAAAACCACCATGTAATGTCTCTTGGTAGCGGAGCTTGGGATCTTGTCGCTGCCGACAGCGCTGCCACACCATACCTTTCAATTGCATCTTAGAGCACGGCCGTGCATCAACCCTGGGTCGGATCGCCAGGGATCGAGTGGCATGGGTGCACATGCGTTGCACCGTTGGTGGTGTCAAGTTTGTGAAAATCCTTTATGTGTTTTTTCTGGCTCCTATCCTCGGGTTCCTCGCACCTGGTGCCTCCTGTTGTTACGCTGCCCGTTCCTGGAAGTTCCTCAAGTTCCCCGCGTTCCTCGGGTTCCCCGCCCCCGGTGCCTCCTATTGTTACGTTGCCCGTTCCTCGGAGGTTCCTCGGATTCCCCGGGTTCCTCGGGGTCCCCGGGTTCCTCGGGTTTACCGCCCTGGGTTGCCCTAAGCAGTGCCACGCAATACCCAGCAATGCCAAGCAATGCCAACCCACGCAAAGCAACGCCAAGAAATGCCAAGCAATGCCACGCAATGCCAACGCATGCCACGCAATGCCAAGGAATGCCAACCCATGCCAACCCGCGCCAAGCAATGCCGAACGATGCGCCCAGCGATGCGCCCTTGCAAGAAACTTTCCCCTTAAATGGAGCCGCGCCGCCGGGTTCATTTTGACAAGCGAACCCTGAAATTCATTGAAATCACCATCCTCGCTGGCGAGAGCACGATTATGTGAATCATCGCCCACCAAAGGCACATGATGAGAACGAGGAGGAGGAGGAGGAGAAGGAAGAGGAGGAGGAGGAGGAGGAGGAGGAAGAGGAGGAGGAGGAGGAGGAGGAAAAGGAGGAGGAGGAGGAGCAGCAGCAGCAGCAGTGGCGCCTAAGAGGAGGAGGGGGAGGAAGAGGAGGAGGAAGAGGAGGAGGAGGAGGAGGAGGAGGAAAAGGAGGAGGAGGAGGAGGAGGAGGAGGAGGAGGAGGAGGGGGACGAGGAGGAGGAGGATGAGGAGGAGGAGGAGGAATGCAGGTACAGAGGGGGCGCGTCTCCCTGAGAGCGCCAACCGCCGAGATAGTATTAGCGGCGGCAGCGGCAGCCCTCCGAGGATGTACAAATAGATGTATTACAGTGTTTTAAAGACGCCGCAGGAGGCGGCGGGGCAGAAGTGAGGGAGTGCAGCAGGTCGTCTCTCGCGAACAGCAGCTTGAACTCGCCGGCTCGACGTGAACAGCTTGCCAAACTCGGTCTGCAGCGCGTGCATCTCATCGAACTCGTCGGCGTCCACCTCGTTATGCGCGATCTGCTGCCGCGGCTCGTCGAACTCCATCTCGTCGTGCTCCAGCTCGTACGCGATCTGTTGCTACAGCTCGTAGGTCCCGTTTGGGGTGAGCAAGTCGTCGAAAACGGACTGCGACGCCTGCAGTTCGTATTCCTCGTCGGGCTTCAGCTCGTCAGGGCAGCCCGTCGGGCTCGGAATGCGTCCGGGCGGCGGCCACGGTATGCTGCATCGGCTCAAACAGCTCGGGGCAGCGGCATGGGCAAGTCGATGGAGTCCAGAACTCTCGCGAGACCGACGCAGCAGCCCTCTTTCTGGATGTTCATGAGGATATTGCCGAAGTAGCGAAGTAGTTCTCAAGAAAGGCCAGGAGCGTTGTAACGCCCGTTGGTCGGCTCGGTGTGCTCGGTCGACTGCCGCTGCTCGTCGGGCTCGATCGGTGTCGGCATTTCGTCAAACACGGTGTGCAGCGGGGAGTCGACAGCAATCGACTGTGGCAGCAACGGCCTGGGCGAGTTGATGGAGTCCAGACCAAGGGTGCCTGATGCAGGTGGATGGCAACCGCGACAATGCCATCCATTTATGAGCGGAGCGGGCTGCGAGTTCAGAACCTTTGCGAAGGCGTTGCAGCAGTCGTCGTGCTTGATGTGCTTCAGGAGGGTGCCGAAACAGCAGTAGAAATGGCGAGAGCCATCGCGGTTATCAGGGTACTCCTCGTGGCTTTGCAAGTGCTGGACGTGCTGCTCGAGTGAATTGATCTGCTGCTGCATCTCTTCGGTGTCGCGGTCGATGTCCCGCAATCTCTGATCGAGCGTGTCAACGATCTCGCCGCGCAGGTTGTTAACCTGCTGCTGCAGTTTGGTGAGCTATATCTGCGCCCCCGCAGGAGCGCGCAAGCTATCGCGAGCTTTGGATGCCACTCGGTGAGCTTTACCAGCAAAGTGGCTCCAATCGAGGGTCATCCTGCGTGCGCCGTGCGAGGCCGTGAGCTCGGAACGCAAATCGTTGATCTCCGTGGCGACCCGGCTTGGGAGGGACTCCGTGGCGGACTGAATCGAGTTGGTGAAACGGGCGGGCAGCTGCTTGCTGTAGGAGTCCAACAGCAGCGCGACGCCCGCGTGGAACTTTGTCGTCTGGCTTGTCAAGGATCCGCTGGCCGATCGGCTGGATGATGCTTTCGAGGGTCATCTCGCTGGGCTGCGCTGGGTTTGAGCCACAAGAGCTGGAGGACCCAGTACAGCTAGAATGGGTTCCCGGCTCTATGGAGACGACGACCTGGGGCACGGAGTCGGCCTATGCCCTGCGTGCGTGCTTCTTGTCGAACAGAAGCCAGTTCTTGTGCCGCGCCATGTTGCCCGCTTTGTTCCACTTGATGAATTCGTCGGCGACGGGCTGCGGAACGAGGCCCTGGGCAAGGACGGTGCGGTGCAGATCTGAGCCGTTCCTGTGGTGTACGCCCGCCTCGAGCTCAAGATGGTGCGTGTGGGCTGTCGCCTGGACGAGAAACTTGGCCTCGGAGGTGATCGCTGCGGGCACGGCGGTGAAGTGGTGGCCGCTCGGCTTGTTCTGGAGGTAGCCCCGCTCTTGAGCTCGCGCAGCTCGCCGCTTGAGCGCATCGAGTGAGCGAACTCCGCGAGGACGAGGGAAGGCCTGTTCAGCGCGATGGCCGAGACGTGCACGAAGAAGTGCACCGCACCTGCGATGATGAAAGCTGCTAGGACAGCGATTTGCATGAAGAAATGGCCTCCGCGCGTGCAGAGTCGCCGCTCGGATCCCACGCGCGCGCGGGGCGAAGGGGATGGCACTTGAGCCAAATGGCTACGGAAGGAGGAGGAGGGGGAGGAGGAGGAGCGGAAGGAAGTAACAAGGTCCCTCCACCAGGTCATGGCTTTGACTGGGTGGTCGGGCCATGCGTTGCACCAGATCTACACTCACGGCGACTGCTGCGTATTGGGACAGTTCACTTCACCCGGTTTTCGCCGTTATGCAATCGTTTTTGCATATGCATGCTCACTCCACTGAAAGAGCCGGAGCCACGGATCACGGGCTGGAGCTCGTGAGAAAATGGCAAGGACGAGCCAGATGAGTGAACGACGTCGCAAGAGAACTGTAAGAGGGTGAGAGGGGCAGGAGGAGAAAGAGGACGATTCTAGAAGGAGGCGGAGGAGGACGGGGGGGATGATGAGGAAGGGAGGGAGGGAGGGAGGGGAGACCAAGAAGATCAAATCCGCTGATACCTTGCCCACATCCCCGAATCGAACCTCGTCTTGAGGAGAACGGGCAATTGTTGCCCTCTGCTCGGAGGGCTCCTGTTGCAGAGGCAAGTAATGGATCTGCGAGAATGCCGCGCACGGGCGGAGGCAAGCCACAGCCTTCTGGTTCACAGCCTTTGACGACTGCTGCTGCTGCTGCTGCTGCTGCTCCTCCGTCGTCCTCATCCTCTCGATTCGCCCACACGGACAGCCTGGGCCACTATAGAAGCATGGGGTGGCGCCGTTTGGGAATGAACGGCATGCAAGGAGTGTGAAAGGGGGGCGCCCCGCCAGACACGCGGTTCCTGATTTTCGAACTCGCTGCAGCGGGAACAGGATGTACAGCCGAAACAGCGATGAATGAAGGATTTCCCTAGCAAGCCTGCAAACATACCGGTGACATCTCAGGCAAACGCTGAACCAGAGTGAAGCCCGTGAGTGTCTTGGAATTGAGACGGTGGGCCGGCGTCCTGAAAGTTGCCGAGGAGACGCTAGGCCAAAACGAACAAAAGAGCAATATGAACGAACTGCACAATCGTGTGGATTTCCCCCCCCAATCCGTGAGATTCGGCGTCGCGAATCATTGCCAAGTCCATGACAATCACGACCAGAGCCCTTGATCCCGCCTCTCAGCGACATTCAGTTTCCTCGGGCCAGATCGACCTGTACAGCTCCAAAGGCAACGCAAACTTGGCGACCACGCTCGGTGGAACAGTGCGACGCCCAGATCTCACTGCAGAGCAAGTGAAAAGCATTGCGTGCTTCCTTCTTCGACCACCCACTTCTTCTTTTTCCTGCATGCTACCTTTGTTATTCGGAAAAAGCCTGTGGACCAACAGACTTCGACCACATCCACCTCTTCTTTTTCTTCTTCTTCTTTTTCAATGATTTTTCTGCTTCCTTTTATTTCTGCGTGCTACTTCTGCAATTTTGGACGAGTGGCAGGCCTGTGCCCCAAGCCGCCACCCCTGGAACTTGCGGCCGCCCTTCCCGCTGAGAGGGTACGCTTTCAAACGTTTTTGGGTGGGGTCGGACATCGCTGCGGGAGCGACCTAGATACGGATTTCGTTCCTCCTCCTCCTCCTCCTGGTCCTCCTCCTGCTGCTGCTGCTCGTCATCCCCTTCCTCCTCGCGCAAATCGGTCCCCCGAATTGTCCATGGGCGCGCTTGGGCCATTTATTCGAGCTGCGTCCAGCCGTGGCAAAGAGACACGGGAGAGGGAGGATGGAAGAGGGGTGGTGAGGAGGAGCAGGGAAAAGGGCGGGTGCCCTCCTTCTCCCGCCGTTGCTGCTACTGTTGCTCCTTGTCGTCCGCCTCTATCTCCTGTGCCAGGCACGCTAAATTTCGCACCCCAACGCTCCCGCAACAATTCGAACGCTATGCACCTCATCCACCTCATGTCGAACGGCCGATGGGCGCATTGGCTGCCGCGGTCACGGTGCGCTCGCCCCGCAACTCCTGTCGGGGCGCCAACAATAGGGGGCATTTTGCAACCGTACATCAGACTGCACGCGCCGGTACGGTCAGACTCCGGCGGAAGATGCTTTAAGCAAGGCGTAATTCAACGCGCGACCTAGGGTTGCCATTCTTTCTCGCAAAGTGCTCGGGCCCAGGGTCCTCTCTTGGAGTTTCGTAGACTGTCTCCAGCGCCATGCTCGGGAAGGGTAAGCGACTCTCGGATGCCGAACAAACTTCGCCTTTATGTTTTGCAGAAAGTGTGTGGCGCGCGAGCCCGCTCCAGGAAAGTGCGCCCCCCGCATCAGGTCAGTGAGAAATGACGGTGACATCGCTGCAAAGAACATCGAGGGATGTAGGATGACGGCGGTGGCAGCGCGGGAGGAGAAGGAACCACTACTTTTCCCGCGCGCCGCCGCAAATCGAGTACCGGTGTGGTGCTGGCAGGTAGGGCGCCAGTGCCTTGAGCCAAGGCGGCGGATGCGCAAGCGCTTATGCTCCCAATGGAAAACTCAAATGGGGGAGACGCTGCGCGGCCGCTGCCACCTTGGTGTATCCCAAGGGACCGACAAAGTGCGAGGCCGAACGGTCTGATATTGGCCAGCACGCCGACCACAAAGGCTGTGCGTGAAAAATAAGCGCAGCAGGCTGGAGTCACGTCACCGTGCCTCCAGGCGCATAAGGCTCGAAGTCAGTGATGGCCAGGTGAGGCAAATCTCGCCCGGCAGCCAGACAAGGCTAACCCTCGTCCAAAGGCTCTGAAACGACAAGATGGGGCGGATCCATACCAAGCTCGTCGGAGAGGCGCGATTCCGCGCCAGAACTTGCGGTGAGTCGGCGCGATGCCGCTTCAAGCCCAGCATAGGGCAAAGAAAAAGGCACCCTGTTTAGATGCTGTGCGGCTGCATGTGCGAAATCCGCTAATACTCCAATGTCCCTGGGTGAGCAGCCTCCGTGGGAGGGTCGGCGAGCGAGTGGTGGGTAAGAATTAACGGCGTGCTTGTATTTCTGAGTCCCCACCATTACTCCCCAATGTAACCGCCTTTCGTGTGTCCGTCAGCGATCATATCCCAAGCATCGCACCACCGAAAGTTGTGAAGGATGCCGAGGTCCAGGGGTTCTCGTATCCAGCTTACGTTTCCCAGCAAGGTCTTATCGGGGAGTGCTGACTCCTCGTCAAGAGCAAAGGACACCTGGACGCAGAGACCGCCTCGTCCACGAAGCTCTTTCAGTTCAGCTGGTGGCAAAGCTCTTTGTTTGAGTTCGTGAAGCGTCACCAGCGTATGGGTCAAGACCATGTGCGGCGGCCAAAGCCCCCGCTGCCAAGCATAACCTGACTTGAAGACGGTGGACTTTCAAATGTTATCCAAGCAGTGGGCTGCCTGTCGGTGGCTGGTCGGGCTTGCACGTCGCAGCAAAATACATACTCGTAGCCCATAGTCCTTGGCATCGTCGCCGTCTTCTCCAGTGATCTTGCGGTGTCCCGAATCGCTACGCCTACCTTGCCATATGGGGCCATGACCTGGTAGACGTTCTTCTTGGGTGCATGTGAAAACGTTTGGGTAATGGCGTTCAGCCTTCTTGCCTGGATGTTGGTTGGTTTCTGAAGGCGCTGCAAGGCCATCAAGTACACAGTGATCCAGAAGTGGGTGCGCACTGCGTAGCCTAGGCTCACAGACATGTCCGTGGCACTATTGCTTGCCCTGTCGCCTGGAGGATTTCCCACGATATCAGTGTCGTAGCTGTTTGATGCACTTATCCTGGTCCACGATTACGTCTCTGTTGTGATGATTGGCGTTCCTTACTGCACACTCCGCGTAAGAATGCGCATTGCATCTACATGCGCCAAATACTTGTTCAGCTTTGGCATAACTGTCAATGATGGATTCCTTGCCGCGGATGTTGAATCCGTCGGCGTGGTTGGCGGTGAGAAGGTCTTTGGCCATTTCGAACTTGGCGCGGGGGTTCTTGCATGTTGTCTGCCTGTGCCCGTCCTGGAACGAGCTCGTTATCTGTAAGTGTGGGGGCCCACGACGCGCGTGCACTCTCCCATCCAGTTTGGTCAGCTGGAATGAACATCGCCACTTCTCCACCGCGTTCGAATCGACGGTGGAGGATCAGGAACGGCAGGCGTGCGGTTGCGACCCAAGGAAACCTCGGAGCAGGACCTCGGATACATGAGTTTCCCGAATGAGAACACCACATCCTCGTACAAGGTAAGGACGAATAACATTTACTTTGGCTCGTCTTCGCTGGTGTTCATGCAGTAACCCTCTGGCATTCCATGATCCGACTTGTCGTGGGTTCTGTGCTGGGTCCTTGGACTGGCACGACCATGGGAGCAACGGCGCAGAAAGTGTGCTAGGCACACCACGGTACTTCTGCCGTTGGAGCCACTGCCCTTTCGAACAACCGAATCCTTGCTTTGTCGATGCGTAAGGCCGCCACCGTGTCACTGTTCCCCATGAGCTGCGTGTGTGTGTGTGTGTGTGTGTGTGTTTGTGTGTTTGTGTGTGTGTGCATGCGTGCGTGCGTGCGTGTGTGTATATATATATATATATATACTAGAACCACGCGCGCGCTTCGCGCGCGCTTAGGTTCTAGCGCGGACTTCTCCGATAACGAATGCGAACTCGCACATAAGAGGAGCAGGCGGATGGGTCGGAGCATCATGGACATCAAGAGCACGGGTATCCTGGCCTTGCTCGCTCTCCTTCGCCGCTCTCCCCGTGATCCTGCTCCCGCATCATCGCAAACATTATCAACATCACTCTGAATAACATCACCATCATCAACATCGTTGACGTCGTTGACTTCGTTACGATCACGATAATCTTTGACGCGGTCGCTGTCTTCGTCATCGTCATCGTCATCATCATCGTGCATCGCCGTCACCATCGGTGAGCGAATCGTCATCACCGTCGTCATCAACATTATCATCCGAACCCTAACTTCATCAGATTTGTCATCATCACCATCATCACCATCACCGCCACGATCTCTGTCAGCATCGTCATCATCATCATCATGTTCATCATCATCATCATCAACATTAGCATCATCATCGTCGTCGCCATCGCGCACGTTGTCATCGTCAGAATCGTGCCTCATCAAAAACATCATGCACTCCCCCATCATCCACATCATCAACACCACCGTCATCAACATTCCCATCACCATCACAACCACCACCATCACCATGGCCAGCACCATGACCATCACCATGACTACGGCCATCATCATCATGATCACCATCATCATCATCATCATTAGCATGAGCATGGTCATGGCCATCGCCATCGTCATCATCATCATCATCATCGTCTTCGTCATAATCATCATGAATTTCACGTCTATCACCGCCGCGGTAGGCCGTGCACGTCGTCACCGTTATCGCCAATTTTTTGAGCCCTCTTGTGCTCTCGTGATCCCCGGGGGCGTCTTGTTCCTGTAGGGGTCTTCCCGGGAATCGTCGTGGGCCCGAGGGCTCGAGATGCTAACCCCACCAGCCCTTTAGGGCGTGAGTGGTCTAAGGAGCTCGTTCTGCTAAACCTCCTTATTCCACTTCGGGGAGGGGGTTCCCCTTATCCCCTCTCCCTGGGCCTGGAGGGAGGGTTCCGCGACCCCTTTCCTCCTCTTCCTTTTGCTCTTCCCTCTCCTCTTCCTCATCCTTCACTTGCTGTTCCTCCTCCTCCTCCTCCTCCTCCGCCTCCTCCTCTTCTTCGTTACCGTCCTCGTCCTCCCCCTCGGCCTCCTCTTCCCCCCCTCGCCTCCTCCTCCTCCTCCTCCTCCTTCTTCTCCTCGCCCCTCCACGCAGGCCCCCGACAAGTTTTCCGCAAGCGCATATCGCGGCTGTTGTTCCGCCCCGTATTGGGCGCCTGACGCCGCGCCTCGTATAAGCGCCTGACGCCGCGCCGGGGAGGGGGCGCGCGCCTACGAGGCGCGCGCCGAGGGATTCCGGCGCGCCTGGTATAGGCGCGAGCCGAAGGATTCCGATCTACTGGGCACCTAGTCGGACGCAGCGCCAGTGTCTCTTCTTAAAAAGGAGAGGGGGCTTATTTGTGTCATGTTCGGTTGTTCATATGTCACCATCGGCTTCTGCAGAGGGGGGGCGCGGCTACCACACTCCGAACGAGAGGAAATGTAGACAGACATCCGCCATAGCAGCACTGTGGCCTTGGCGGGCGCCATGCTGGGCGCGGGCGCGGGGAAGCTCGCGCATCACACATTGCGCGCGTCTCCAGCGGGGCGCATAAATCAATTTCACCACCTGGGAGCATCTGGGCAGGGACAGAAGTGGACGGTCTGGACACGAATAGTACAGATTGGGAAGGGCTGATCTCAAAGTGAAGCATCTGAATAAGGCCGTTTGGGGAAAGCTGATCTGAAATCGCGGGATCGACCGCTCAGGACTGACGCCCGCGATCCGATGTAGGCGATCTGAGGGTAAGCGCGGCCTGGCCTGATGGCGTGCCGACGGCGGGGGGAGCAGGGGGAGAGAGCGGGCGCCGCTAGCGATCAGTGGGGACAGGGGTTGTTCAGTAAAGTGCGCGCAGACTGTTCCGGGGAGGCGCGGCCGGAACGTTTTGGCGTTTCGGAGCCCGGCGACCGTGATTCAGACCTCAGAGGGGGGGGCCCCTGGGATGGGCGGGGGGGTCGCGCCAGACGGGGTGCGTCCTGTCCGCGGAACAACCGAGAGTGTCTAGACAACGGGGTCTTCGGGGGACCTAGTAGATGCATTCGGGAATGGGGCGGCATTCATCCAAGCGTTCCGAAAGGTGTGCGCAGCATGTTCCGGGGAGGGCTTCCCGGAACGTTCGGCGCCAGAACGGGTGTGCCCTGTGTGCGGACGGACCGAGATTTCCTAAACACCGAGTCTTCAGGAGTCTTATTAGATGCATTCTGGAATGGGGGTGGCGTCCACCACAGCGCTCGAAAAGCTGGCCGGCGGGGGGCAGCATGCCTTCACATGGCGGGCTGCGGGCCGATGGGGATTGCGCTGG